CGGATTTATAAACAGATGGTATGGAGTGTTGAGACCTGACTGTAATATTTTGAAGCAAACGAGAGATATTTCAGAATTGAGAAGTTAAAAAGAAGAAGTCAAACTTGTCAGTAAAGTTTTTAGACCACAGGTTTGGTTTTGGCATTTCTGTAGTAGTTTACTTTCTAATTCTGAAATGATTTTGCTCATTTAACAATCATTCCTACACTAATTTTATTTTCAAATAACTATTACAGTAACTATTTTTAAAATTTTAATCAAGTACCAATTGCATAATGGTGCATGATTTTTTCCTTTTAATTTTGACAATCCTTCTTTAACTCTTGTCTGATTATCTCTTACACAAGTGAAAACCGGAGATAAAGCGCAAACGAATATGATTGGTTAAAAACCACAAAGACATCATCTGACGTGGCAGTTTCTCTGTCTCCAGAGTTTCCAGATAGTGTCCGAACGGCGAAACAAACACACGAACAAAAAAATCTCCAAAGCTAAAATTTTTTCATCGCTTCGATCTTTTTACTCTAATGGCTGCATTCGCTCCGATATCGTCTCCGGTGACTCACCCGCGAACACAATTTCTCTCAAATCCCATTCTCCCTCGCTTCCGCCGGTCTTCCTCTGCCGTGAAATCACCAGCAACTTTCTCCGTCGTCTCTATGGCTCCTCAGAAAAAGGTAATCTCTCTTCGCTTCTCGTTTCCGTTTCATGTATTAAGTTCTGAGATCTTGTAGCCCCATTTCATAAATCACTGTTATGAATATTTTCTTGGTCTGAAGATAGAATTAGTTCTTCTCTGGTTTAAGTAATTTTGCAACATTTTTTTTTACTCACCACATTCTCAAATACTTCAAAGGAGTTTACTTTGATGGAAATTGATCTTTGTATATTAAGATTCAGTTTTGATTTGTGTAATTGTGATCAATGAATTGGGTTTTAAAAAAGGTGAACAAATATGATCCCAAGTGGAAGAAACAATGGTACGGAGCCGGATTGTTCGTGGAAGGAAGCGAGGAAGTAAACATCGACGTTTTCAAGAAGCTCGAGAAGCGAAAAGTGCTTAGCAACGTTGAGAAATCCGGCCTGCTTTCGAAAGCAGAAGGCTTGGGACTTACATTGTCATCTCTTGAGAAGCTTGGTGTATTCTCCAAAGCAGAGGATCTTGGTCTTCTCAGTCTCCTTGAAACATTAGCCGGTACATCGCCCGCGGTCTTAGCCTCGGCTGCATTACCGGCTCTTACGGCTGCAATTGTAACCGTGGTGCTGATTCCTGATGACTCGACTACTCTGGTGGTTGCTCAAACGGTTTTGGCCAGTGCTTTTGCTCTTGGAGCTGTTGTTTTGTTGGTTGGATCTGTTGTTTTGGATGGTCTTCAAGAAGCTGACTGATTCTTTCTTTGTAAACCAAACACAAAAACAAACCTTTTGTCCAATTGATTTATGTCAGTTTTGCTGAAGTTGTAACTGAAGGTTCAGTGATTTATGGTCAGACCAAGTCATAAGCTGAGGAGTGAGACCAAGTCATAGGCTGAGGAGTGAAACCAAGTCAGAAAGAAGCTTTTATACCAATTAAACAAACAATTACATACAAATACATTCATTCTCCAAGTGAAATAGCCTAACTAAGCACACAAATTACAATTTTTCAACTTCCCCAAACCAAAAAGAATCTCTAGAAGCAGAGTAAGTGAGCAAAATTACATACGAAAAAAGCCCAGAAATAAGTGTAAAGATCAAACAGCAATAGATTGTCCAGTGAGAGCGTCGTGGAGATGCATCGACCCATCTTTCATCAAGTTTAAGCTTAAGCTTTTGAATCTCTCTCTTGAGTATTGTCTTGATGCCTTTCTCCAATCGGTTCCAGCTTTCATCATCACTACAAATTCGTCGTAGTTTATACGTCCATCCTGCAAAATCAAACATTATGATTCCTTTTAAGTATTTGATATTCTTTCTATAAGAAGAGTCTAGAGAGGGAAACGAGGATCAGTCTAGAGTTTTAGAAAGACCTTGTCAGTGTCGACTTCACGCATTATATCGATTAGAACGCTGTTGTCTGGTTCACCTAACTCGTCGGTTAAGGCTTTTCGTAGTTCATCTGATTCGATGTATCCACTTCCGTCTTTGTCAAAGAACATAAAAGCTTGTCTGAAATGTTCATCATTCTCCATCTTCTGCAAGTGAATTATCACTGCTACAAATTCTCCATAGTCCAAGCATCCATTTCCGTTAACATCCGCCTGCATCACATTCATGAATGTTAGTACCAGAGAAGACAAACATGGTTTGATCTTTAGATCAATCATAAGAAGAGGCTTATAGGTAAACAATTTACCACTTCCATCAACATTTTGATCTCTGGTTCACCTAGTTGTGAACCGACTTTCCGTAGTCCAGCTCTGAGTTCTGGATACGTTATTTTACCGTCGTTGTCATCATCCATCAGTGTAAACATGTCTCTGATCACTTCAACTTCTTGAAGAGACAAGTGCTCAGCAATTACCTGGAAGCATCAAAAGGTAGTAAGTGAAACCAACCAAAGCTCCAAACAAAAAGTATATAACTCTCAATCTGATACAACACTTACGCGCAGAGCTTTCTTTTTCAATCTATTCATCATGGAGAATTGCTTCAACCTTGATCTCACAATATCCCCTAAAGGAACATTTGGAGCTTTCTTAGCATTCTGTATCCAAGGGTGATCTGCAAAGGAGGAAACAGAAACCATCTTCGCTTCAGCACCGTGACAAGTAGAGCAAATAACATGAAAGAAAAATCACAAGATCATCATCCATCATTACCAAGAACTTGCTGAGCAGTCAAACGCTTAGTTGGATCAGGGTCCAACATCTGCTTCACAAGACTCTTTGCGCTTTCCGATATCTGCGACCAAGGATCTCTCTTAAAATCAAGAACTCCCCTCAAGATTGCAAGAGCCACACCTTGTTCAGTCTCTGCAATCACTCACTTACTCTAATCAATATAAGATCTGTGTATACAATTTCTAATAGAAATCAAATCTCTCGTTTATACCTGCCCAAAACGGAGGAACACCACAAAGCAAGATGTATAGAATAACTCCTGCACTCCACACATCAACCTCTTGTCCGTAATTTCTCTTTAAAACTTCTGGAGCCATATAATATGGACTCCCTACAATCTCTGTAAACCTCTCTCCTGCAAATAAATCAAAAAAATTCTCTTTTTTTTTTGTTCATAATTGTCCAATCAAAACTCAAATTGAGATCAAAAGATTCTAAATTTAGAAAGTTACCAGGCTTGAAAAGCACTGATAAGCCAAAATCAATGGCTTTAAGTGGAGAATTCTCCTTCTTGTTAGCAAACAAGAAATTCTCAGGCTTCAAATCTCTATGCATCACACCATTCATATGACACATCCTTACAACCTCAGCGATTGTCCTAGCGACAGTAGCAGCCGCACGCTCAGTGTAATGTCCTCTCGCTACGATCCGATCAAAAAGCTCACCTCCTTCACAAAGCTCCATAACCAGATGCACGTTCTCGTTATCCTCATAAGTCGCCTTGAGTTTCACGACGTTTGGGTGATCAGGAATCGTGGACATGATCGTGACCTCGCGTCGAACATCCTCCACATCTACGGCTGTGCGAAGCTTCCTCTTTGAGATCGATTTGCAAGCTAAAGCTTCACGGGTCTCTCTGTCTGTGCATAGATATGTGATTCCGAATTCGCCGCGACCGAGTTCTCGTCCTAAGATGTACTTGTCGCTGATCTGAGTCCGATGGCTCATAGGGATGACGTCAGGGAGGACACGAATCGCCGCGTGGGGTCTCCGATCATCGGGATAACCGTAAAGGCTACGTTTTTGATCTCGTCGTCTCGTCTTCGGGGTTTGGTTTGGTTTTGGGTCTTCTGGGTCAAACCTAACGCAGGCGTTGCAATTACCCATGGACGAGTTTCGAACTCAGTGGCTAG